TGCGGCCATTATATGCAGGGTTTTTTGTCCTTCAAAATTTAGTTGATGTGGCTTATATTCAAGTGCGCTCAGTAGTCGGGAAATGACAGCACTCTTACCAGCTTGTCCAAACAATACTATTTACTGCTTTTTAAAAAGAAATACAATTAATATTATGCAGAATTGAGCCTTCCATAATATTTTCTGTTTCTCATGTGGCCCCAAGGAAAAAAATAAGTGCTCACCCCTGTTATAAACCATGTGTCTGAGTTGTTGTTGTTGGGAAACTCTGTCACAAATCCACTCACGGGTCATGGATTCATTTCGTGTACTATAAGATCGAGCGGATGACACACTAGACACTGAAATGACCCAGAGTTTATATCGAAGATTCCAGATTCTCCTTTGACTCATTCATTGGGTCAGAGGCGAACTCGCTCCCCCTCCTCCCCCTCCTCCTCCGCTGGGCGTGTGTGAAAGCAGAGCCGTGGACAGCTGAGGTAACAGGCGTCCTGAAGAGTGAGAGATGAACCCGACCGGGGGCCCAGGGACGAGAGGAAAGAGGGAGGAGGGGAAAGAGGAGAGGAGGGGGCGGGACATTGTGCATTGTGTTAGGGCTACAAGATTAATCCATACATACACTACCGGTCAAAAGTTTTAGAACACACTCATTTTTCCAGTTATTTATTGCAATTCAGGTTGTGCAAGTCCAATGAAGAGCCTAAAATGGTCCAAAAGTAAAAACTGAACAGACAGAGGTTAAAAAAAAAGATAGAAGACACAAAACACAAGTCCAAGCTCTGCCAAAACGACCTCAGGAAAAAAGAACAAGATGGTAAAACTTGAAAACCTGGAGTGTCCAGTAGCACAGTGTCAAGACTTAAAGGTTGTATAGAGGCTTTGCACCGTCACGTGACCCTATAGCAACGGTAACTACGCCGCCATGACACCGGGCACAATATGTCATTGACTTCAGCAGCATCGCAGAAACATGGGCAGGTTTTGTTGTGTATTTGGTTGTTCTAGACGCTCTGAAAGGGATAAAACGAATCGTTTCTTCACTGTTCCTCTGGAAATGACTCATCAGGAGCTCAAACAAGGGAATTATCGAAAAAAAGATGGGAATTATGTCAAGAAAACATGAACCACGAAGAGATTTCCAACGGTACCATCAAGCCACACGAAGTTTCATCAAGGTATTTGCTATTTAAATTGTTTCATAGTTTATTTAATGAAAGAAGCACATTTACTGAACTAAAATTTCATTAATTTATCCAGGAAAACCCGCACTAGTTTACGATTCAACAAACCCACACTGGGCTCCTATGATCAACATGACGCCGAGTCTGTGAGCCGAACCTCGAAAGAATCGACCATGAAAAGATCCTCGCGAACGTTACAAAGATCCACTCACAAAAAGTGATTAATTCTAGAAGACAAAGTTGTGGATAAACAAGACAATAAAGAAAACATGGGTCCTACGACGAGTGACATGTTTATATGTGCGCTGGAAGATACAGTTTCTACTGCAAATGTTTTCTTTTTACATTTTAGTTCAGTAAATGTGCTTCTCTCATTAAATAAACTATGAAACAATTTAAATAGCAAATACCTTGATGAAAGTGACGTGAGTGTGTCTTGATGGGACCATTGGAAATCTCTTCGTGGTTTATGTTCTCTAGACATAACCTGTGTCTTTTTTTTCGATAATTCCCTTGTTTGATCCTGATGAGTCATTTCCAGAGGAACAGTGAAGAAATGATTCGTTTTATCTCTTTCAGAGCGTCTAGAACAACCAAATACACAACAAAACCTGCCCGTGTTTCTGCGATGCAGCTGAAGTCAATGACATAGTGTGTCCGGTGTCATGGCAACGTAAGTACCGTTGCAATAGGGGTCACGTGACGGTGCAAAGCCTCTACAGAGGATTTTTTAAGGGAAGAGAAATACAGCGACAGTCCTTCCTTGTGCATGTGTGACACCACCGTCCTCCTCCAGCTCCCTCAGTAGAAACATCTCCTCCCGCCTCTTTACTGGAGAAATCACGCTTGTTTACATCCAGTGCGTGTTCAGAATTACTGCTGAAGTGACCTGTCTTGAAATAATTTAGCGACAGACGTGTCATCAGTTTTTAGACCCTTCGTCTTCTTCAGTCGCGCCATCGCTGGAAGAAATCTCCAAGAATCACTCCAGTTTGTCTTCGCTCCTTTTCCCCTTCTCTTCTTCTTTCAGTGACCTCAAAAACGGACTTTCTTTTGCGGCGAACTGCTCGTGGATTCTCGTCCGCCATCGCAACAAACTTTGTGCAAAATGCGAGGAAGCGACAGTTTGAAAAAGCCTCTAAGCCTCTAAACCACGTAATCCCAGCGCACCGCGAGTCAGTTACACTAGAAACGTAGGGAGTTTGATTGACAACCTAACAGCCAATAGAAAATGAGGCAGCCTCGTTTTCTATTGGCTGATGTTTCTCTGGCCTCAACATGTCCACAGTTGATGGATTTTCATTCTTTTTTTTTTTTTTTTTTGGTCATCATAATTACAAAGCTGCTGCATCTCTGTAATGGTATTTTAAACTTTCATTGAAAATTTGAAACTGAAAAAAAAAAATCCTCCATACAACCTTTAAACCCCCATGGAGCTGGTTTGGGATGAACTGGACAGAAGAGTGAAGCGACCGACAAGTGCTACACATTTATGGAAACTTCTGCGACAGACTCGGGAAAAACTTTCTGAACAATATTTGATTTGGTTGTAAAAAGAACGAGCCACGAGTGTGTTCAGCTGTTCTATCTGACAAATGTGGACACACTTTTACTACAGGTCAAAGGTTTTAGAACACCACACTTTTTCTGTTTACTGTTGACCAAAACATATTCTAAACTTCTGATTGAAATGCACTATGGTCTCATGCTCGGAGTCAGAGGTCAGGGGTTACGTTACCACACAGGGAGCCCACGGTCCAGGGTGGTTGGGTCAGGAAGGCCATCTGATGTAAATAGGGAAACGTTGACATATTTACGTGTTTCATGTGTTCAGGAGTTTTTTGTTAGTTAAGCCTGGACTTTATTTGATTCCATGATTCTGTTTTTTAGTAACTGTAGTGAAGAGGTGGTGCCCTGAGGAAGAGGAGGAGGACGAGGAGGAGGACGAGAGGAGGAGGAGGAGGAGGAGGTCTGACCTGGTAACAGGGTGAGTAAAGTTCAGTCACCTTCACTAAACACTTAGAGTCGTCCGTGATTCTCAAACCAAACAAAGTGTGTAGAGGGAGAAGTGTCATCTAACTATCATAGTGTGACCAGATGTGTGTACAATCCCTCAGTCGTCCACGGCAAAGAAGAAATAAAATATGTCGACTGGACAAAAGTTTATTTTGGTCGAATATGTTTCGCAGCTCATCCAAGCTGCTTCTTCAGTTCTGGTCTGGTGGACATTAGTCAGGCTGGTGTCACCTAGTGCCTCCGCTCAATTTCATTTCTCTCCAGTGACTAGATCAGGAATCAGAATACACTAGACGGTTTACAAGAACCCCGGAAGTTGTAGACGGCGCACCGACCAATCAGCTGTGAGCTGTGAAGTCATGACGTCAAACTGGTGGCGTCTGTCTGTGTCCCTTTTGTGGAACAGCACAACAGTAAACAAAGCGTGGAGATGGACGTAGACGAAGACAAACATTCTGTGGTGGCGATGATTTCCCAGATCGAGGATTTAAAGCTGCAACAAAGAGAAAGTTTGGTGAATTTGGTGACATACGTCATGACCAAACAGCAGGGATTAGTTAAATAAAAAAAGTACCAACCTACTGTTGAGTGAACAAATCCTAATGCTGTGAGGTCAAACCCGACCGGTGAAACTGGCTGACACTTCGTTATATCTGTCTGAAGAGAGGAGCTAACGACACTGAAACTACTCTGAAACTAACACACAACTTGTTCACAATAGGTTCAATAGGCCGAACTAACAAACAGAAACTGTAAACAAATAGGTGTGTTAGTTTCAGAGTAGTTTCAGTGTCGTTAGCTCCTCCCGTCAGACAGATAGAAGGAAGTGTCCACCAGCGTCTGACCAGAACTGAAGAAGCAGCTTGGATGAGCTGCCAAACGTATTTGACCAAAATCAATTTTTGTCCAGTTGACAAATTAATGGATGCATGGATTCTACTAGCCTGATTCATCAGCCGGTTTCATCAGCCGGTTTCATCAGCCGGATCATCAGACCTCACAGCATTAGGATTCGTTCACTCAACAGTGGGCAGGTACTTTTTTTATTTAACTAATCACTGCTGTTTGGTCGTGACATATGTCATCAAATTCACCAAACATTCTCTTTGTTCCGACACTTTTGTTTGCATTTCCAATAAAAGTCACTATACACTACTTTTGAATTCATTAATCAGTTTTGCAAATAACATGTGATTAATCATGATTAATCACAGGAACTTAACCCACATGTGATGCAGAGCTCAGTGTAAAAAGCAACACCGTGAACCAACAGCTTTGAGTCACAGTCCCCCCGTACAGTGGCGGAGGGGGGGTCTGGTGTGTGTGTGTGTGTGAAAACCCCCCCTGCTGCACTGCAAAAAACTCAAATTAAACTCAAGTCAAATCAAGTTAAAATGACTTGAAGAAGAAAGTTTTATCGTGATTTGAGTAAATTTCACTTGTTAAAATCTCCCAGTGGTACTTAAAATACAAAAACACATCTTGTTACACTTAAGATAAGAAAAATAACAGCACTTAAAATTAGAAAAAGACTCTAGTGTTGCTTGAATTTAAAAAAAACTGCACTTATTCCGTTGGTGGATCATTTGATTTGTTGAAGTTGAATGGAACTCAAATCAAGTCAAAGTTCTTAATTTAAGTTATTTTAAGTTGTCTAGATGTTGCTTTTTGCAGTGTGGACCACCCCTCTGGGCTTGTGTGTGTTCGTGTGTGTGTGTGTACGGACCCCCCCCCGGACCCTGGGTGTGGTGTGGCTACAAATAGACGTCCTTACAGCTGCCGGCCGTCACTACCCCACTTCCCAGTCGCCCGTTCGGGTCTCAGCACCTTCCAGACCGTCGTGCCCTCCACACCAACCAACCAACTACCAACATGAGCAAGTCGTACTCCGCCTCGGCCCAGAGCGCCTCCTCGTACCGCCGCACCTTCGGCTCCGGCGTGGGCTCCTCTCCCATGTCCTCCATGTTCTCGTCGATGGGAGGACGCGGCAGCAGCTCCAGCCACATGTCCTCCAGGGTCTACGAGGTCAAAACCCTGGGCTCCCCGGCCTTCTCCAGCTACAGGTACCACGATGACTTCAGGGATTTTGGTCTAAATATCGCATGTGACTTGAAATTGATCTAGTATTGCTGGTTTCCAAAATTTTCCAACCTTTTTCCTCGGGTGAGCTGTCTTTACAAAACGAAAATTCCAGAGAGATTCTAATTTTAGCGGTCGGTGGAAATAAAGTGTACACAAGAGTTTTGGCAAGACTTAGATGAGGTACAGTTCGATAAAAGATAAAGCAGGGGTGTCAAACTCATTTTGGTCCGGGGGCCAAATCCAACCTACTTTGATCCCAAAGTGTCCGGATCAGAAAACTCATGTCATATAAACCCCAAAAATAACAATAAGTTCAAATATTTGTGCAGAGAAACACAAATCTATTACAGAAATCTTTTTTAAATGATGAACTGTTTCTTTTACAAAATATTATAATATTATGAACAACCTGAAACTTTAAGAAAAATGCAATTTCAACACAATGTTTTAACATTAACTTTGTTGTAAAATCCTGCACTCGGCTCCACTTTTCTCATGTTGGACATTTTTCTGATGAGGGTGTCACGGTCAACAGTCAAAACGATCGTCCTTTAAGAGCGTTTGGAAAGAGACAAGTCTTCATTTGTGCTGCTCTGGTGGGAGGGGCCACGTACAGAGACGCTGGAGACGCTGCTGTGATAAGCACCACAGAAAATTAACAAGATTTTAATAGAAAATATAATTAAAATATTTTAGTAGAAAATCAGCCGAGGGCCACATTAAAGGTCTTGGAGGGCTGGATCCGGCCCCCGGGCCTTATGTTTGACACCTGTGAGATAAAGGATTATTACTTTGTGGGTGCACAAAATCAGGCATCAAAATGATAGATTAATAACAGCCATTTAATTCAGCAAATTTGAGTTACTCAGGACAATACGTGTAATTCTGAAATTCCTTGGCGAGCGACTTGAAAGGGGGTGGAGACTTACAGGTTGGAAATACGCTGAGTAGAAGAGTAATAAATGACGTAGGCTGCTGTATTTACCTTTATACTATGTAATAACTGTGTAATTACGAGTTAATAACACAGTGGAATAATTATGGGCTAATAATCAGAAGACAAGGTGCGGCTCAGGGAGAGAGGAGGCAGAGACTGAACTGTTTTGCTGGTACCATGTGTTAAAATAGACAAAAGACAAAAAAAGACAATAAATGAATGAATGAATGAATGAATGACCAGTCAGTGAGAAAACCCCAAAAAATCACAATAGTTCAGTGAGGTAGATTATATATGTACAGATTAGACCACAGGTGTCAAACATATGGCCCGGGGGCCAGATCCGGCCCTCCAAGACCTTTAATGTTGCCCTTTGGTGATTTTCTATTAAATATTTTAATTATATTTTCTATTAAAATCTTGTTAATTTTCTGTGGTGTTTATCACAGCAGCGTCTCCAGCGTCTCTGTACGTGGCCCCTCCCACCAGAGCAGCACAAATGAAGACTTGTCTCTTTCCAAACGCTCTTAAAGGACGATCGTTTTGACTGTTGACCGTGACACCCTCATCAGAAAAATGTCCAACATGAGAAAAGTGGAGCCGAGTGCAGGATTTTACAACAAAAATTTACTTATTCCTATTTACATACAAGTTCATGTTAAAACATTGGGTTGAAATTGAATTTTTCTTCAAGGTTCAGGTTGTTCATAATATTATAATATTTTGTAAAAGAAAGAGTTCATCAATTAAAAAAGATTTCTGTAATAGATTTGTGTTTCTCTGCACAAATATTTGAAATTATTGTTATTTTTGGGGTTTATATGACATGAGTTTTCTGATCTGGACACTTTGGGATCAAAGTAGGTTGGATACGACCCCCGGACCAAAATGAGTTCAACACCCCTGGATTAGACGATCAAACTTGAATGTCACAAAAAAAAAGGAAAAATCGATCTGGATGCACAGATCAATAGGCGAGTTTCAGCTGACGTCATTGTTATTAAAAGCCCGCGTTGCTGCTGGGAAATATTTTGGTCGGAGGCAAGAAACACGATAGCGTCAAACACAGTGCGTAACCTCGCGTATTTATCCCCGATAATGGTAAATTCCTGCTGCGTTATCGGACGCACAAATAGAAGCACGGAAGAAGGAAAATGTCTTTTTTCATATTCCAAGTGAAAAGAACCACTAACGGTGAATTAAACGTCTTTCAAACATCCGCAGAGCAAAAGTAGAAGATCCTAACAAACCGTGGACTCCAACAAGTTCAACAACTCTGCTTGACCAGATCCCATTATATGTGTAACACAGGCAAGGCAAGGTTATTTGTAAAGTACATTTCACACACAAAGTAAATTGTACTTACTTGTTATCAATAATTTGTTCAAATAAATAGAAAATGCAAATAAATTGAAATTAAATGAAACCGGTTTGTCAAAGCCTGATCCCGTCACATCTCAGAAGCTCAGAGGTCGGGCCTGGTCAGGACTTGGATGGGACACTGGGAAAATCAGGAGCCACAAGGGGGCGCCAGTCACAAAAAACAAAAAAAAAAAAAACTGTTGTTGTCATTAGTAGGGATGTAACAATAACCGAAATATCGTGATATCGTATCGTCAGAGTTCTCACAATAATATCGTGGACCATCACAATATATCGAATTACAAGTCTCTTTGCTTAAATTCAGAGTTAGTTAGAGGTGCAGTGATTTCTAAAGAGACAGAGGGAACTACATAGACCATGATCCTTTGCTCCGTTTCAGTGCAGACGACAAGAAGAAATAACAGTTCTAACACTTTTAAGTCTTAGTTCTTTGGATTAAGTCTTGTCAGGGCATTTTAAGAGGAAAGAGTATTTGTTCGCCTCGACAAAATATCGTAATACATATCGTACCGTGAGATGTATATCGTGAAAATATCGTACAGAGAGATTTCGATATTGTTACATCCTTAATCGTGAGCTTTCCCACGATATCGCAATAAATATCGTACCGTGAGGTTCATACCGTGATGATATCGTATCGTGATGTTGGTGGTGGGAGGTTCTGATGGCGCGGATTGGCACGGCAGCCACGCTTCCGTCGGTCTGTCCCAGGGCAGCTGTGGCTACAATACTAGTTTTCCACCACCGGGTCTGGAGTGACTGAATAATGCTCTGGAAAGCGTGACAAATGTCTGTGAAAAGTGCTAAAAAAATAAAAACTTACTCACTTTTAAGGCTTTTTTAAAAATTGACGATGGCTTGTAAGTTTTCTAATAATTCCTGGGTTTGTGTCACTATCATCCAACTTCTTAAAGCAGATTTGTTTTCAAGTTTGGAGAAAAAAAAATCCATCTTAATGTTCCTTTTTTTTTTTTTTTTTTTTTTTCCGCAGGGTGTCTGGCGCAGGGGGTGGCATCGGCTCCTCCGGCGCCGTCAGGACCTTCTCCGGCGAGAAGCTGGACTTCAACCTCGCCGACGCCATGAACCAGGACTTCCTCAACACCCGGACCAACGAGAAGGCCGAGCTCCAGCACCTCAACGACCGCTTCGCCAGCTACATCGAGAAAGTGCGCTTCCTGGAGCAGCAGAACGCCGCCCTGACCGCCGAGGTGGAGAAGCTGAGGGTCAGGGAGGGGCCCGGGCGCGTGGCGGACATGTACGAGGAGGAGATGAGGGAGCTGAGGAGGCAGATCGAGGCGCTGGCCAATCAGAGAGCCAGGGTGGAGGTGGAGAGGGACAACCTGGCTGATGATCTCCAGAAGCTCAAACTCAGGTGGGCTAAGCGGACAACCTTGCCGCATGAAGCGTTTAATAGATCTAAAGCTACGAACGGTAGACAAATATTCCGTGGTTGTACATAAAAACAGTGTTGGGCAAGTGACTTTAAAACTATAATGTGTTTTTTATGATTTATTTCTGTCATTTCAAAGGGATTTATTTACATTATAATATTACTGTGTTTAAAATATAAAACATTACACGACTATTACAGCACTTTTAATTTACTCTCAACAAAATAACTGTGAAAATGCTGAACTTTTGCGCCGTACAGGACTAAAACAGTACTAAACAAGGTCTAAAACAGGACTAAACCAGGTCAAAAACAGGACTGAACCAGAACTGAACTAGAACTGAACCAGGTCTGAACCAAGACTGAACCAGGTCTAAACCAGGACTAAACCAGGACTAAACCAGGACTAAACCAGCTCTAAAACAGGACTGAACCAGAAATGAACCAGGACTAAACCAGGACTAAACCAGGTCTGAACCAGGACTAAACCAGCTCTAAAACAGGACTGAACCAGGCCTAATCCAGGTCTAAACCAGGACTAATCCAGGTCTAAACCAGGACTAAACCAGAGCTGAACCAGGACTAAACCAGAAATGAACCAGGACTAAACAAGGACTAAACCAGGACTAAACCAGGACTAAACCAGCTCTAAAACAGGACTGAACTAGGACTAAACCAAAACTGAACCAGGACTGGACCAGGACTAAACCAGAGCTGAACCAGGTCTATACCAGGTCTAAACAAGGAACAAACCAGGTCTAAACCAAGACTAAAACCAGGACTAAACAAAAACTAAACCAGGCCTAAAAATCTTGCCATTGTCGTTCTTTAAAATAGTGACCCTCAGAAAATACACTGTGTTATTTTCTAATCTCTGTTCTAATGTCTAATGTTTCCTCGTCACAAACAGACCTGGAGTCGTGTTTTTTTGTTTTTTTTTTTTGTTTCATTCACACGTTTAACTCACAAACCCGGCAGATTTACGCAGTTTTTTGTTTTTTTTCCCTCTCTCACGCAGACAGAAATCGCACGTTTGTCCATATTTAGCTCGATCTGCGTGAGCCTGCACCCACCTGAACTCCAGCGGTGAGTCACGTGCGGTCGCAGAGGACGCAGAGATACAGAGGCTCGGGCCGATTGTTCAGTGGAATCAGTTTATTTGTGGATCTGAGCCCGGCGTTATCGGACAGGACGAGACAGAGCGCATTAGTCACACACACACAAGCGGGAGTGTTACCCAACGGTCTATTTGTGTCCAGTGGTCGGCCTCGTGCGCCACAGCTCCAGACCGACACACTCCGCTTTAGACTTTATGTGTTTTATTTCTTTACAGGACACTCGGACTTTTGATATAAATGCAGCTTTTGTGTTTCTGCAAAGATGAGTTTCAACTACAACTGATTGTATGTTTACATCACGACGAAACAAAGGACTAAACCAGGAGTAAACCAGGTCTAAATCAAGACAAAACCAGGACTATACCAGGTCTAAACCAGGATTAAACCAGGACTAAACCAGGTCTAAATCAAGACAAAACCAGGACTATACCAGGAATAAACCAGGACTAAACCAGGAGTAAACCAGGACTAAACCAGCTCTAAATCAGGTCTAAACCAGGTCTAAATCAGGTCTAAACCAGGACCATACCAGGTCTAAACCAGGACTAAACCACAACTAAACCAGGACTAAACCAGGTCTAAACCAGGACTAAATCAGGACTAAACCACAACTAAACCAGGACTAAACCAGGTCTAAACCAGGACTAAACTAGGACTAAATCAGGACTAAACCACAAATAAACCAGGACTAAACCAGGACAAAACCAGGTCTAAACCAGAACTAAACCAGGAATAAACCAGGACTAAACTAGGACTAAACCAGGTCTAAACCAGGACTAAACCATGTCTAAACCAGGTCTAAACCAGGACTAAACCAGGTCTAAACCAGGACTAAACCAGCTCTAAACCAGGACTAAACCAGGTCTAAACCAGGACTAAACCCGGACTAAACCAGCTCTAAACCAGCTCTAAACCAGGTCTAAACCAGGACTAAACCAGCTCTAAACCAGGACTAAACCAGGTCTAAACCAGGACTAAACCAGCTCTAAACCAGATCTAAACCAGGACTAAACCCGGACTAAACCAGCTCTAAACCAGCTCTAAACCAGCTCTAAACCAGGACTAAACCAGGACTAAACCAGGACTAAACCTGGTCTAAACCAGGTCTAAACCAGGACTAAACCAAACGATATCACATTATTTCAGTTATTGTTACATCTCTATTGAATAACCTGATTTTAAGTTTTAAAATCTCGGCCCGATCAGAGAAATTTGCAGCACAGGTACAACTTTATAAACAGGCTGCAGATCAGAAAACGGCGTCGTCTGGGCTTTTCAAACGAGACGCAGGCAGATCTGAAGTGTGTCCCGTCAGAACTTCGCGTGGCATCTGCCGTCTCCTTCACGTCGCACATGTCGACGCGGCGTCGAGTGAACAGCGGCCAGAGCACCTGCTGCCGCCGGCTCAAAATACTCACACAGCTGCGCCGCGCTCGCACGGAATCACCGCAAATGTCCACGATAAGCCTGGGAGCCGGACGCAGCTTTGTCACTAAATGGACGTTAACTTGTGCTGCGAGCGGCGGATGACCAATCGGAATGAGACGTGCTCGATAAAATGAGACATCGGACGATTCGGATGTCGCTTAAAGGGCCCGTGTCGCGTTATTTTAAATCTAGTTCTAAAGTAGTTTCCACACGAACAGACCTGGAGTTGTTTTTTGTTTTCATTTGTCCACGTTTAACGCACAAAATATTCAGATTTAGGCTGAGTTCTTCTCTCAAATAGAAAACAGTCGACTTTGTGTTGTCATGCTGTAATTCCGAAAGTGCTCCACTGTGTTTTAAAACTATAACCAGAGTATAAGGCGAGTTTCATTGCTGACAAGTTTCAATTCCGTTGGGAAGAGAAACAGTTTGAACGGAGGTTTGAGTCACACACATCTGATTCACTTTTGCATTGATGGAGTTCGCAAACACATTTTCTCGAGCCATTTTCCGCTGTGAGGATCCAACAACCACACGATTAACGATGTCCGAATCCCAAAACTAAAATATGACAATATCAGAACCAGAAACCGAAGTCCAAGATTCATGATTGACAGTTTCATTGTTGACAGAAGCGCGCGTTGCATGCTGGGAATTATTTTGGTCGGCGGCAAGAAACACTAATTCAACATGATGGACGGAGCGAGAAAGCACGTAAAGGGTATTGATCCCGGTTATTTATCCACTCTAACGGCAGAGGACCCAAGACCATGTGACCAGAAATTGGTCATAAGCATCGACGGAGCCAAATCACCCTTTTCAACCCCGACAAAAGGTGGACCAAACCAAATTTCTGGTCAGAATCTCCAACTACCTGGACAAATATTCACTTGGGCGATATCCACAGTGACTTGGTGGAAACTCCTGGGCCATTCACAGCAGAAAAGATGAAAACCTCCAAGAGTCTTGATGTGTTGTTGAACTTGTTGGAGTCCACGGTTTGTTAGGATCTTCTACGTTTGCTCTGCGGATGTTTGAAAGTCGTTTAATTCACCGTTAGCGGTTCTTTTCACTCAGAATATGAAAAAGACATTTTCCTTCTTCCGTGCTTCTATTTGTGCGTCCGATAATGCAGCAGGAATTTACCATTATCGGGGATAAATAAGCGAGGTTACGCACTGTGTTTGACGCTACCGTGTTTCTTGCCTCTGACCAAAATATTTCCCAGCAGCAACGCGGGCTTTTAATAACAATGATGTCAGCTGAAACTCGCCTATAAGGCACACTTAAAATCCTTTAATTTACTCAAAAAATGCCTTATAATCTGGTGCGCCTTATGTATAAATTCTGGTTGTGTTTACTTAGCCTGCTTCATCAGACGGTTTCACTTCGTAGAAACTGTGTGACCTCACAGCGTTAGGATTCGTTCGCTCGACAGTAGGTGGGTACTTTTTTTATTTAACCAATCACTGCTGTTTGGTCGTGACGTATGTAATGCACCAAATCCCGTAGAAAGAAGGACAATAACGTGTTTCCCCTCGATAAAATTCACCAAACATTCTCTTTGTTCCGACTTTAAATCCTCGATCTCAGGAATCGTTGCCAACACAGAATGTCTGTCTCTTCTCTGATTGTCTGATCCCTGAACTCGCACTTCCGGGGTTTTTGCGAACCGTCTAGTGCAGGAGTGTCAAACTTTTTTCATCAAGGGCCACATCTCTCAACACAGACGAAGCAGAGGGCCGAACGAGGGCCTTAGACTGATGCTCAATACACTGAATAATTAAAACATGTGCATGTTTAACACGTTAGAATGAAACATCAGTCTTTATTCATGCTCAGATCCTTAAAACCACAAACTAAATATTCTATATTAGATTCATCAAGGTCGAGTTTCAAAAAACTTGTTGTAAAAAGTTCGTTTTTAATTGAGGTAAGGTAATTTGGGTCAATTCTTCTGGAAGCCTGAGGGCCAAGAAAAAATTGTCTGAGGGCCACATTTGGCTCACGGGCCATAGTTTGGACGTGTATTCTGATTCCTGATCTAGTCACTGGAGAGAAATGAAATTGAGCGGTGCCATCCTGGCTCGTGTTTACTGACCTCCAACCGATTTTCTGTGGTACACGGCGCTCCAAAATCTGTCAAAATGTTTTAGTACGACTTTGGTAAACTACAAAGCCGCAACGTTTGATGGATTGTCGGAGCGTTATGGCTGCTGTAATCAGGTGATAAAAAATACAAAAATAGAAAATAGTGATACATGCACAAAGAACAGACTCACCATCAGCAGCACATCCTCTGCCACAGAAAGAACACTCATATTCCACTGAGTCGTGTCCTTCAGTCCGACAGAAGCTGAACCGCATCAGCGCACAAGGAAAGAGCTGTTTTTTTCATCGCTTATAGTTTATGCAAATGAGTCATGTGGTTTTAAG